GGTGGGGGGGGGGGGGGGGGGGGGGGGGGGGGGGGGGGGGGGGGGGGGGGGGGGGGGGGGGGGGGGGGGGGGGGGGGGGGGGGGGGGGGGGTCGGGGACTTTTCGCTCACCCTGTATGATTTTCTGTAGCCTTCTTTAGCCAGCTATAAGAATTCCTATGGTATTTTGAAACGCAGCTCTTATCGCCAATTTTTACCAGGGTTGAAAGGGATTTTTTCCGAGAAGTACGAAATTCTGTTCGAAGCGTATGCACTCTCCTTTTTTCTTCACTTATCACTAAACGATAGCTAATATGATTGTCTTTTCATTGATAGATAAGTTCAACAGATTCGACTATGGACCAAAAGAGAACATGCAACGGTACGGATCAGCGACTCCTCCTCCGTACAACTTGACCGGTATCACGGCTAGAATGGCTTTGGTCTATTCTTACAACGATTATTTCTCCCATGTTAAAGTAAGTACTTTAATTTTATTCACTGGGAAAAAAACACATTGGATCTAGAGTCCAGACTCTTAAAAACATCGACAAGAAAAAATACTCTTGATTCAATCGGATTTTTGCTTACATCAAGAACCAAGCCTCTTACTTTGAGCGGATTTCCTTTTGATTTAAGCAAAAATGTTTTTTCTTGTCAATGCTTTCAAGAGTCTGAACTCTAGATCCAATGTGTTTTTTTCCAGTGTTCTCGTCTTAAAAATTACACAGTGAGATCCAAAAATATTGATGATACTTTCATGATCATGTGAAAAATGTTAGAATTTTTGTGCTTTCAGCTCAGAGAGAGCTCATTTCAAAATCAATTTTACACATTATGCTGCCGTGCTAAGGAAAAACGTCGTATGAGCCTTCAAGCGTTGCCAAATTTCCTTTGATAAAACGCAAATTCCCTGGTAAACTTATGAATATTTTCCTTCCAATTTTTCAGATAATTTTGTTCGCAATTTCGCTTAAAGTTCCTGAAAATGTCAAGGGAAAATATTCATAACTTTCCTCCAAAACAAACATCGTATCGAAGAAAATTTGGCAACTCTCAAATGTTCATACGGTCTTCCTTAGCCCGGCAGTATGGGTCTCAGACTGATTTTGAACTTTCGTGATGAATGGACAAAATTTTAACTCGCCCTGTTTTAAAATGACTTGACTTCCTCTAAACTGTTGATAGATATAGGAGTATGGAGTGTTATTCTCACACTAAAATTAATGCAATGATTGGGTTCAGTGATATTTTATTCAACCTTTTCTATTTCACGTATTCCTTTCTCATAGTTTAATTCAATGTCATTCTTAAATATTGATGAGGGGTGCCTATTTTTATTCGGAGCAAAATCATACAGGATATTCGACGCGTCGATGCCACACACTGAAAAAAAATTCCGGCGTTTTTACCAAGTCCGTTGGTACCTTTACCATCTCACTTTTTTTACCAATTATTGGTAATTTTACCGAGACAGACTGGTCAGCTTACCTAAAAACCGGTATTTACACTGTTTTTTCAGGTAAGAATACCACTTTTATTGGTAATCAATTCCCGGTATCTTTGCCATTTTATCTCTGTAATTCTACCACAGTCGATAAAAAATATTGGCGTTTTTACCAAGGTCCAGTAAAACTACCGAGAAAGTTCAATAATTTTACCGAAATTAACAATTCCATAAATGGTAATTTTACCAAGAACAAACTGGGATCAAATAGAACTGAATTCTTGGTAATTTTACCCTTTTCTTAGTAAATACACCGAGATTTTTTTTTCAGTGCAACCTCCAGAGCCATCATACTCTACACCTGATCTTATACTTTTACCTGGGTCGCTGTAAACATTTTCTTTTCTGTTGAACAGGATGTTAAAAAGCTGGCATCGCTTCTTCCGAACGTGGTTAAAATGATGCCTATCCGTTACAAGAAGTACAACCACGTCGACTACATCTGGGGCATGGAACCTAAAAAACATTACGTCAACCAAGTCATCGATACGATCAAAGAGTACACAAAACCCAGATATTCTGGAATTTCCACGAAGAAGAAGTCCGAGTTTGGCTTGAAAGTTCCTAAATGATTCCCAGAAGGCTCCTTATGGAGACTTTTGAAAAATGGTTCTGCCTCGAGGCAGTGGCGTGGCGGGCTATGCGATATATCGAGTTATTTGCCTTTTAAACCTATGGTTAAGAATCGACAAACAAGATGTTCGTAACGAACACCTTAATAATCAATTCTTTACCATAACTTCAAATGGGAAAATATCGATAATCGATCATTCACGCCTCGCGCCACTGCTTGAGAGCGGTGTCGTACGAGTGGGAATGGAAGGGAAATGATACTTTCCGATCTTCCCTGAAGTTTGAAAACACGATTTCTTTCTCTCCGGAAAATAATATCCAAAATTTGTGAAGATCTTTCTAAAAGTGTTTTGGAGATCTCTCTCAAGCTGTAATGATTTTCGGGAATACCGAGATCAAGTGTTTTGTGGGAAGATTTTGCAAGGCGTCAGGGAAAATGCTTCTTTTTCCTCTTCAGAAAATACAAGATCATTTTAAAATGATAGGAGAAAATGGATATTGAAAGAGTCAGGACAAAGGAAGAAGAAAATTTTGTTTATTAGCATAATTTTCGGAGATAAAAATAAAGTTTTTAAAGGGTCCAGAAGACATATCGTGAGTTTCTCCCTGCAGAGGCCGTCTTACTCTTTCGTTCGTTTGGGAAACCGGGAGAGTCTGTAGGCATGTTGCACATGTGCCTTTGCATACAGCGGACAGGTTTGAGAAAATGGTATTATGCTTGCAATTGATGAGTTAGGAGTTGATGAATAAGGTTGATACTCGAAGTATCGAGTACTTATTAATTGGGAAAAATTTAGGGATCAAATGTGTGTCAATCCATGAATTTGACCTGAGTTTTGCGAAACAAATTAGTCCTTTAAATCTATCAAACCGTGCGATTGAAGTACACGTAAGGTTTGATTACACTCATATATTCGTACTTTTTAATAAACTCGTCGCACATATCTAAAACTTTCGAATGTATTACATCACCACGATTCAGTAAACTAACCATCCAACTATCTCCGGTGATGGTTATTTTATTGAGACTGGAGGTTTCACAAATATTTTGACATTCGATGAGTATATTCTACCTCATTATACTTCAGCTCTTCAGATCCGAGTGTGACCTGTAGCATTAAGCCAAACTATTATTTATTGATCTTTTAATTTTTAAGATGGGCCTTTTTCCTTCGGTGAATATTGATCTCAAAAATAAATTTCGACTCTAGAGGAGGCTCCAATTGAGTTCGAGTTCGGAGAAAATTAAGCGGTGATTGATGTAATTAGTGCAAGCAAATAAGCCGCAGTTCTTGTTCCTTACATTATTCATATTTTTGTTTGTTTTAAATTGTTTTCTTGTTACCAAATCATAGAGGGAAACTCTCAATTTGTAGCCGCACCAAGCACAAAGAATGCTTAATTTGGAAACTACCCGAGCATTGCGATGGTGAAACTGCAGAAATGCGTAATTGGTTTGCGGCGTTTCATTCTTGTCGTTCTTCATTTTCTGCATGGAAAACTACTTAACTTCATTTCTTGAAAGCTTTGGTGATTCTTCTTCTTAATTTGAGGAACATTCTGTGCAAATTTCAAGCCGTAATGATGTTTTAGTGTCCCTTTGAGAAATAAAGTAGTAGCGGAGATTTTGAAACACCACAAGCGAGATAAGCATTTTTGCAGTTTCACCGTCAATTTAAGTTATCACTCTAAGAAATAAAATAATTTCTGGTAAAAAATGGTTTCAAGGCCAAAGAAACGATAAAATGCACATGTTAGGTTAACATAATTTATTCACTTATTTGTAAAATATTGTCCGCACTTTTCTTATTATGAACTGTATGTATTGTAAACAGTAGTTTTTTAAATCTTATCTGGAATAAATTTCAGATGACCAAAAAGAACCTTGTAGTCATATTTTTCCCTGTTGTCCTAATTTTCCTACTGTAAAGGAATATCTCCCTTAAAATTTTTGTCGGTTTATGACTCAAAAGGGTCCCCCCCCCCGCGAATGTCTCCTTACAAATGAGGAAATGATAACCCGAACCAAAAAATAAGTAGGCCCAAGTAATATTGGAGATTCCATTTTGGTTTGCTCATCTCCGAGTTTGACCGTAGCAGGGCCGCAGGGGAGATCCTGGAAACCTACCACGGATTGTTTTGAATGTTGCAACTGACACCTAAGAAATTAGTACTAGAGTAGGACGATTGAGTATCTAATTCCCGATTTACTTTCGAAGTGATAAAGGTGAAAATCCAGCGACTTTAGCCTTTGCAGGCATTGGCCTGGTGGGTTGATGCTTGAAGTTCGCCTACAAGTTCGACTGATACTGTGCCACACTCGGGTGTTCGAATAGTTGCTTCGCGCTTTTGTACACTAAGTATAGGTCCGAAGTCGCGTTGATTTTTTTATTGTCATACTGTAAAAGCCTTGGCGCCACTAATGTGCCTAACGCGATTTTAATCATCAAGGAGGCGGTGTGATACGATTTCTTTTTCTTTCTCTATGAGAGCAGAATTTGAAAAATATCATTAGCCAAGACCTCTAAAAAATTAGCACAAACTGTCTAAACTGAAGGAGGACAAAAAAGGCCTTAGGATATTAAATATATAGATTTTCCAACCACAGAAAAAGTTTTCTATTTACACTTGAAATTACTTACAAAATAATGGTTCATTCCTAAATTTAAAGAAATAGAGAAAAAATAGACATGCGCCTTTATTAGAGCGGAAGCGTAGCAGTCATTATTTGACGTTAAGGGCAGATGAACCAAATAAACTCAACCCCATCATTTCATATCCCCGCCACTGGTTAATTTACTCCATCAGTTTGCCTCAATCTGAACTCCACCTAGCATTTTGGCGTTAGTGTTATTTTCTTCCTTGCACGATGGTTGTGAGATTGAATTACTGAAATCACTGCGCAAAATAGTAATTCCTCCTTCGTAAAAAACTTCGGGAAGCAAAAAACACTAATTTTATTGGGCTTGCATTGTATATCTAATCAATGTTTGACGGCAAACGCGTTTTTGTAACCCGTGATCCTAGAATGTGCACCATACCTACACAAAAATTGTTTCCAACTGTTACCGATACAATTACTGAAGTTTTACCTATCACATTTTAAGAGCACTTTTTTGCGAAATTCAACCAAAATTAGACAATTGGCCTGCATGGCACCACTTAATGGGTGGAGTGACAGTATTTGTCGTTACAGCATATTAAGGTACAGTAATAATTCCTAAAACACAAAAATTACCACTGAAAACGATGAAATGTATCATTTAATTCATTATTCGTAAAAACGCTCCATAAAAATCTTCATATTATGGAAGAAATGTGAGCAATGGAGATAATGGGGGTAAGGAGTCATCTCATACTTTTTTTTATTAAATATTTACCTCACTCGCGTGCCTTATTAAAGTCGCAATAATGTCGCTGGCTCCGTACAAAAAAAAACTTCGCAAAAAAAATCCACGAAGCCTCACTTATTATATGATCCTGAAAGTCCCTCCATACATATCCACGTAAAATATCGTTATTTTTCCTCCAAGTACCAAAGAGAAATGTGTGCTAAATTATCAGAAAATAATGAAAAAAAATCAAGCAGCCTACAAGATTCCCGAACATTTTTTATATCATCATAAGATTAAGCTCAAATAAATTGGACCGCGTTAGGCTGAAAGGAATCAAGCCAAATAAGCTATTGTCACATTTAATTGAGCAATTCAATTCTTTACATGAAAACAGTTGTGCGAATTTTTTTGCAAATCTCAGTGAGTTTTTTGCACGGCACTAAGAAAATTCTTACCACATTTTAAAAAAAAATCTTCCCAAACGTTCTGTTGTAAAAAATTAAACTGTTCTGTTAAATTTGGCAACAGATGGAGTGGCTTAGTTCCTTTTTACAAAATCCTGGTCCAATTTTGGAGGAGAAAAAGGAAAGAATGTTACATATGCATAAAGAGTAACAGGTTCTCAAAGCGGTGAAAATATATTATAAAGCGATGAAACAATAGTGTCAGTTTTAAAAACCGTAAGAACATCCATCCTGCTTATACGCAAAGGCTAATTCTAAGAAGCATACACGGCAATGTCAGTTTGAAAAGTCGTCGTGATAGCTAAGAGCTATATTTAGGGCTTAAATATTTCCAGATGCTAAAATATTGTACGATGACGTGTGCAGATTCGCCAAATTTTATCTCAAACTACGGTCTCTTTTCTCCATGCCTTTCTAACTTTTTATAAGTTTTTGCGTTTCCGGCGTTAATTGCATTTTCTACAGGTATTACGTTTTTGCGTTTCATACATTTTCAGCAGTTATTGCATTTCGTGCATTTTGTCACACAAAAATGGTTGTGATTTTATCACACTCGCTTTTTAGTCGTTCCATTTAACCAACCAGCACCTCGATCTATCGGTAAATGCAAGACTTTTTTGAAAGCTGTTCCCCGAACCGTGGCAACAGTAAATATGTGATCAAAAAGTCATCATAAGATGCTGCTCTCAATTGAAACAGAGGTAACTTACAATTAAAACACGACCTACCGTGCTACTTTTTACACGAAGAAGCACATTGACCATTCAGAAAATTGATCATGGCCGTAACAAAGTGTATTGTCCGGAAGTCCATTCAAATGCAAGCGACATTTACGCTACCATAAAAAAAGTATTGAATGAGTTTCTAGAATATCTTTCACGAAAAACTTTTTCACCTTCGTAACATCAATATTTAAATAGACAATAATGCCATGAGAACCAATACAATTTGAAGAAGTGAGATAAATTAACGAAAACTAAGGCCAATAATCGCATGCAAAAGTAAAACCGATTTTGAATGGGCGCCACAAGGATGGCTGAAGTAAAAAACTGCGGATCTCCAATTCTTCATTGCAAAGTTTCAAAATATCCGAGCATCATTTCTTTTCTCAAGAAGAAACCGCTCCGAAATTTTTTCGAAATTTTTTACGAAAAGTTTTTAATAAGTTGAAAAAATTCCGAGTAACCGTCGGAGTCTTTCCTTAAAAAAATAAGCCACGAGCAGAGATTTGCAACGTCGCTATTGGGCATGTGCATTGTTCAACTTGAACCATCCAATGTCCAGCGTGCAAAAATCTACGTTTGAAACGCATTATAGTAATCCAAGCTCTGCTAAAATCCGAATTTGAGAATAACTTGACATCAACGCCGCGAAAATCACCAACAATATGAATGAATGATCGCGCGTACTTTAAATTTTTCGCGGGAGATGCATATCAGTGAGTTGTTCGAAGACGGCCGGTGAAGGCGCGGCTTTCCCGCGTTTCGCGCGTATAAAACTTCTCACGATTTTTTATTAATTTATTTTTTATTTATTTCTAAAATAAAAAACCGGGAGTGCATTTTCCAGCTAGGTGCGTCTTCATTTCGCGGAATTGCTCCAGTGCGGTTTTTTTTTCATCGTTATTCCTTCGTTGTTTGAAAAACAGTAAAAGAAGTAATACGCCTATCTAATTAAAAAGTGTGAAACATCTTTATTTGCCTCCTCGCATCACTATATAAATATATATATATAGAGCTCGCAGCATTTTCCATGTTTCATTGAAGAAATATAAATAGTAGGGCTTCTGCAAATAATTTCTACAATTCACAACGGTAAGTGAAAAAATTGGTGAATTGCAAAATTAGTCATCTGGTATGAGCCATCGTTTCACTTCGTAACATAACTTGGTTACAATAATTGCATGCTGCACTAAAGCAAAATAACAAGTGCCCTTAACAGCGTCTGGTCTTGCATAGAAGAATCTCTTGAACGCATGTACCTATTGTTGTTCTTAACCGTATTAAGAATCACTCTTTAAAGTTTTTTAAGTGTCTAAGTTTTGATCCTCTACATTCTACACTGTGAAAAAAGTTAAGGGCTCTATAGACATACCGTCCGTTCCGGGCTCAGAGGCCGAAAGTTTCGGGTGCTGGGACCGTAGCTTCGATTGCTCCAGGTGCTACGCCCGGAACTTTCGGCCTCTGAGCCCGGAACGTGGACGGTATGTCTATATAGCCCGTAAGGGCGGCTTCTACGGCCGGTTTTTTTTTCGGTGTAAGAAATTATCAAATAAAACTTGCCGGTTTAAAGTTTTTATTGAATTTTCGTTGCTCTAATTTGGCAGTTTTCATAAAAATCGGCGAGTCTCCAGACAAATTGTCCCTGTGCTCCGAAGTTTGCTGGGTCGAAAAAGAGAAATGCGAGGGTGCAAAACGATGGATTTGTTCTTACTAGTTCTCTTGGTTAGTTTTTTTGGCACCCTTGATGCCCGCAACACTCGACGTGCAAATCGACGTCCTGGGCGGCAGTTACCAGAGCCGACGACAACTGAACAACCTATGGACCCTATGGTGTTCATGAACACGGTAAGAAAATTAATCATTCTAACAACGAAATTTCTTGCTAAAGTTAACTTCATAACCATGTATCTTGGTTCCCGACGTCGTCACAGACTCACAGTCTTTACTTATTTTTATCAGAGGACGAATGGATACGATACCTTGAATTAATTTTATTTCTTCTCTATATTTTTCTTGGCATTTTGCTTTAGCACGGCAGTATTGAATTCTTGAATTGTGCAAAGATGGAGGCGATTATTTGAGCCGAATGTGATTTTTCACGTTAAAAATGTTTTTCCATAAAGAGCATTTGCTCTCGAGCTAGATGTTGATGTTTGCAGTGTGAAAAATACTTTTTCAGATAAAATAATGATATTTATTAGGTCAATTTAAAAGAAAATTGGCATCTGAGAGGAACAGCACTTTACCAATAGTTGTTCTATACAGGGAGGGAATTTATTATCTTAAAGAATGAAGAGCATTTGATAGACTCTTTATTATTCCATACGCTTTTTAAATTCCACCGCTTTTAAATGAGATTCTGTTTTGGACAAAATGAGTGAGACGGTCAAAATTATAACCATAAACATTAAACAACCTCAGATTAATCTAAAAATGTTGGCTCGCGAAAAAACCAAGATAAAACTTTGGACAGCTGTAGCTTAAAGAAAGCTGTAAGCTTATTATAACTCAAAAAAAAAGTTCTTCATCACCCAACTCCGAAATAAGAGGTTAAGATAATGTTACTTTCATCCCATAATAATGGATTCCTGAAACACTCATGTTCAATATAGTGCATTAATTGATTTAAGGGTATCTTTTCATATACCCGCGTTAAAGTCTCCGGGATTAATGGGATTGCGTTGAGCAGACAGAGATAAGATCCAAATCAGATCATCCATTTTCAGATATCTTTAAACATTTTTTTAAAAAGAAGAGAGCAGTTCTACAGATTCTCTCGATGATTTCAGGGGATTTACTTTGCGTCTTAGAGAAAATACCCTGAAATTTTCAAAAGAAATTCCACTGCCGTTCTTCCACACAAAAATAAATTATCTGATGACATTTGGCAATGGCTCATCTGACTTTGTTCTTTTCTGCTTAATGCGGTCCAATGATGAGTAAAGGCCCTGCTTAATGAATGCTGAACTGGTAAAATAAAATCCCATCCAAAATTAGAGTATCTTTCTTCTGTGGCAAAGGTATCCTTAAAACGAGCGATACTATTATGAAATGACTCCTTAACCCTACGCTATATGATACTAAGCTGTGGATAATTTTTTTTTTTTTTTTTTGGTGTGTGTGTGTAGCTATTATATCAACTTACATTGTCAATTTAGTGCAGGTTTTTGAACTTGTACGCTCTGATGCCAAATCTCTATTTTTTCTCGGAAGTAAAAGTCATCTATTTAAATTCATCGAGACCCTGACTTTGGTTCGTGCATCGAAAATATCACACGCATTCTCTAACATTCTACCGTCAATCGTGCGTGGAAACCATCAGTGTAGGAAATACGATGTAAATTATGATATTTCTTCATACATCTTCTCATCAACGTTTCGTATATGGACTACATTTTGCAATTCGGAATTACAATTTTTGGCTCCTTTGTAAAAATACTTATGTACATGGGGAAACTAGTGGTGCCTACATATGTCTTTTTTAAACTGAGCCAGAAATTGTAGTTAAATTGCAAAATGCAGTCCATATAATCATCACATAAATGCGAGAAAAAATTACGAAATTGATACTACAGCAATACTGCTAAAATTCAACCGTAATTTGCTTTGGATTTTTACGATTTAAAGGAAGAAAAAGTGAAAATACTAACCATAAAAAAGTTAATATTGCCATCCGTTTTTTACTGTTAACTTCAATAATAACGTCACTTGAAATTGTAGTTAGGTATCTAATTTGGGAAGAATTTAATAAAAAAAATATACACTATAATATATGATGAGATGAAAATGTGCAATTATCTAAAATTTGGAAAAAAGCGGATGGTCAATAAAATTTCTTAAAAGACGTTAAGTCCCTTGCCGTGTCAGGAATGTGTAACATCCAAGCTAAGTAAATTAATAAGAGCCACCCGGGAGTTTTTTAAGTCCATTTCAAATTTCTGAATTTCAGTCTGAATTCCACTCCGTTTCCATTAAAACTCGGAAACATATCCTAAGTTGTTCACGGCTTTATATTACTTTCCTCAGGAGTAAAGCTTGGAAAGTATAGCTTCTCAGCAGCTTATCCTAATTATAACCTGCATGATGAGTGATAAGAGCTTGACTTTCCGAACTTATAGGCTGACATCATAATCGGCGATATGCTTTTTCCTATGTCGTTTGTCTAAAAATAACTCGAAAGAAAACTTGAACCGTTATTTGTGACAGAATAAAAAATCAGACGTTTTACGGTGAGCCATCGATTTTTACGGAAAAAGTCAACCTTTGTAGTTAAATTGGACGAATATTTTTATCACTGACTTTAGGTCGAAAAGCATTTGGCTAAAAGAATGCTTGCGAAAAAAATCTGTCAGGAATTTCTTGCGTATGCTCAATTGCTCATGTCTCCACCCGTTGTAAATGTTCTTACGGCGCCTGCATTTTTCCTTAGGACAGTGGTCGTCCTCAGGAAAAACACCGTAAGAACATGCACAAGATGCCAAGTTTCCTCTGTTACCTAAAACTAGAATTTTTCCTAAAACTTGAGACAATTTTCCTTTGAAATTTTCAAGAAATATCCATCGCAATGCATTCCAATATGCCTGAAATTGTCTGGGAATTCCCAAAACTTTCCTAAAAAATGTACTACTTTATCGGGAGAAATTTGCAACGTCGAAATTTATGGACGGCTTTCTTTCTCAGCTTGCCAGCAAAGTCTCGTAAATTAGCACCGGCGAGACAAAAACTCCTCACGGATCTAGCGAATATAGAAACCAGTTTAGATTCCATTGAAGTGAATCCTCGATCATTGATTCTTCTAAGCCTGTCAATCTTCCGGATGCGAGAAAAAAATCTGCGATGATTTTGGAATATGATTTTCTTCAAAAATTACCACACCCATTGAATAATACTCAAAATGATCTAGTATAATGCAAGCAATGAGTCATTTAGATCCGCCGGAATTTCACAATTTTCGCTGGTTAATGCTGGTACTAAAATAACCCCTGGGGAAAAAATGAAATTCACTGACGTTGTACGACTGGAATGATACGAAAAGGATATGGGCGGCTTTTGTTTTGAAAATTTATATTTTGCCTTCAATTTTTGAGGCAGGCTAGAGAACATCATCCGTTATGTACATTTTCTTTCTACCAAAAATCTTCACAAAAATTAAATTATTGTAAACATTGTGATTATCTCTTTTTCTCTTATCTATTTTTTCTTTTTCGTTAAAAAAAGCTCCTATTATCAATTGCAGCCCATTAATCTGTTAACCGTTTTATTGACAGGCTCAACTAATAGATCACTGGGGTTACCAGCGTGAAACTCACTACTTAACCACCTCGGACGGATACATTTTAACAGTGAACCGAATCGTTAAAGCAGATTCAAAATTGCCCCCCGTCATAATTCAACACGGGCTCTTCTACAATTCAGATTTGTTCGTCCTCCGAGGGCCAAAAAAAGATCTGCGTAAGTTTTTTCGGCATTAATCAAATTAAACACAGCGAGGGAAATATATTTTATGACTATTTTATTTTCACAGTACCTTTTGTTCTATACATGCCTTAAAATGAGTCATCATCTTACATGAGTTTTCTCCAACTTCAAAGCGAATGGGTTTGAGTGATATTCAGCGGTAGCTTAAGTCAGCTTAAACACACAGAAGTTGGGGTTAAGCTGACTTGTTTAAAGCGTCCAGCCCGACGTATACAAACTAAAGGCTTCATAAAGGTTCATCGATGCCTTTCCTGGCTCTCTCATTGGCCAGCAGTGTAAGTCGGGGTCGTCGACGAGTCTCTTTGAAGCCTCTAATTTGTACATGGGCTGGACACATACGCATGGAAAGAGTGCGATCTAAATATTAATAACTATCTTGATTTAGGATTAAGGATGTTGATTTAGGATTTTTAATATTAAAAAAGTGTGTGAGAAGTTTCAAATCCTGATCTTACATTACAAAAATGCTAGCTCAAGTACGCCCGCGGTTTAACGTACAAATTGTATCGATCGGTTAGCATTTGTTTAATGGAAAATCAGCATGTGTATCTCCTCGCACATTTTCAATATTATAAATGCTAAATCAACATTTAATCTTCTTCGGTGTTGATTTTAGAACCGCCCGAGGAAAGCTAAGACGCGGGTTATTTTCATTAATGTCACGATTTCCTATCCACAGCTTTCATTCTGTCGGACATGGGCTATGACGTCTGGTTACCAGACTTGAGGGGAAACACCTACTCAAGAAACCACACAACACTAACTCCAGAGCAGCCTTTATTTTGGAATTTCAGGTATGTTTACAGCCCACTAAATTATGGCTATATACATTTTAGGGGAAATTATTTCTTTGCTAGTAGTTTTTACAGCCGAGCCACAAAAGACTAATTTTTCATGCCTCCAAGCTCATATTTCGTCGTTCTTCTGACGTAAGACCGTATCTGAATTTCCACGTGAGCCCCGTCTTTCTTTTCAAACCATACTTTCTGGGGCTCATGCGATACGCTCTTACGTCAGGGGAGCGACGATTTATTGCTGACATTACTCCGCATACCACCTTAACCGCAGAAGAACGTTTCTCTAAAATTAAACCTCAGAACTCAGGCCTTTTGACCAACCTCTTACAACAGCGCGCTCTATCATTTTCTTAAAATACCGAGCAAGGAAAGCATTTTTCTCGTTTTTTCTTGTCTCTTTCCCATAGGTAGTTTTCTCGAGTCAAATAAACCTGACGAGAGTTGAAAAGGTCACTTCTATTAAAAATGATTGCTAAGCAAAATATTGTGCGATTATTTTCCTTGAGAGATATGCAAAATAACGCTGTCGAGCGCTTGGATGCAGGTGAATGAAAGATGAAAGATACAAAGGCTCTGTAAAATGCATTATTCGCAGTTCCCGCGTTTGAACATCGATGTATTTCTCAAAATGTTGTAGAATTCCACTTTAGCTCTCCTCTTATATATACTTCCGTGCTAGGGAAGAACGCCGTATGAACATTCGGGAGTTGCCAAATTTCCCTTGATAAAACCTGTATTTTTGACAAAATTTATGCATATTTTTCCTCGAAATTTTCAAATATTATAGATTTAATTGTGTACAAAATTGTCTGAAAATTTGAGAACATGATATTCACAATTTTCCCAGTAATATCGGATTTTATCGGAGAATGCTCGGCAACGTCTGAAGGCTCATACGACGTTCTTCTTTAGCACGGCAGTGTAGGTAAGAACTTTTTGAACTGAATAATTTCAATTATTCCTAGTGGTAGACCTCCTAAAACATGTACTATTGTACGTTCAAGTCCGCAATGTCCGGTTATCATACACGCAAGTCCCGGCTTTGCCACTAATTGGACTGCATTTTGCAATTTGGAACTATGTATTCTGGCTCATCTGATAAAACACTTAGGTGCACAGGGAAACTAATGGCGCATACGTTGTTTTTAAACCGGGCCAGACTTCAAAGTTCCTAATTGCAAAATGTAGTCCAATTGTAAGTAGAAGATTTCGTCACCTTCCTGATGTAAGGACGTAACTCCACGTCGATTTGAGCCCTCTCGTCCATATAACCCAGTACTTTCCCGGGCTCATCTCAAAGTGTAGTTACGCCCTTTTGTCCATCGAGCACCGATTTGACATGTCAAGAATGATGATCGAAGTTCTTTCCATTTCTGGAGACAAACGCTAGATGAACTTGCCTCCAAGTCTTTTCGCCATCATTATACGTTCAGGGATGCATAGTTCTGAGCACGTGCGTAGCAGAATAATTGTGGTCTGTGGACTGTACCAAAATTGCACCATCATCACCACATCATCTCTTTTGCACCCTGTAAATTACATAGGAATAATAAAGCACACGGAGTATGCTCAACCTTCCGGGTTCTAATTGAAAGTTGATACCAAGGACACAGCAGCACATTGGCAAAACGGGATTCAACTTTTATTGACACTTGAAGAGCAGCGCATTTTGCTCAAATGCATTAATGAATCTTTGAGGAGAGATGCAGTAAACAAACTATCAAATGGACGTATTTCTATCAAACGGAACTATGTGCATTATGACGTGAGCCCTGTTATGCATATATTCTTATGAGTCGCAGGGCTCATGTTTTAATGCACATAGTTCCGTTTGATAGAAATACGTCCAAATGAGTTGTGTTTACTCTTGATTTCTTCATGACTGTGTACTTTAATGTACTTTTTAGAGTGAGCAACCGGCCTAAGGTGGTCACATACGGAACTCAGAGAGGGGCGAAATGCCTTCTGATTGAAATGGAGGTATTTTATGGATGGTTGTGAATACCGTGGATGATTTCATGTTTCCGGAGTGTAAATTCCGTTTATCACCATCCAGTGTGCACTTCTACGTTTGATGAAGTCTATTCTGAAACATAATGAAAAAATATAATAACCGATCAAGTGACAAAACGGAATTGGGTCGTTAGAATATTCCAATGGAGATGTTGTATGTGTGAGGAATTTGCGATTTGACTGTTGATTCTTACGTAAAAGTTCGCGAGAAACACGATGGTGCCGCTGGTTTTCTCTGAAATCAACTCCCAAGCTCAAAAAAAGATCTCAAGTTGAGGCCACAATGGATGGGATATCCCACGCTCCCTGGTAAAAATTGGCAGTAGAATCTGTGTTTCAAATTACCATAGTCCTAGGGCCGGCTGTAAGATTTCCAGTAGCTTCTACAATAGCCGGCTACACAATTTCTTATAGCCTTTTATAGCCGATTGCGATTAAGCAACAGCCAGGTGATGAAGTGTATGCTAAACGTTACTAATTACGGATGCTAGGACTTAGTGAGTTTTTGGAATACTGCTCTCTTTTTTGGCCGAAGTATCCTGATTTATTTTGCAAGGAAATCTCCGTACTTTTCATGGGTGCCTGCCTAGGGTGCGGCTTATACGAGAAATTAAAAAGGTTGAATTTTGAAATTGACAAGGGACCCCGCCAAAACGTTCCTAATAGTGTAAAAACAAACGTTGTAGAACAGTTTTGCATTTGGTCAACATTTAGAGGTTGCGACGAGCCTTTAAAGTTGCCAAATTTGGCTAATTTTCGCATTTTTTCGTCAATTTTGGCAAATTTTCCCAGGCCTTACTGAGAGTTCTAATCGGTCAATTTATTCATAAATAGGCAGTACATAACCTAAAATATTTTTTTTTTTTTTTTTTTTTTTTTTTTTTTTTTTTTTTTTTTTTTTTTTTTTTTTTTTTTTTTTTTTTTTTTTTTTTTTTTTTTTTTTTTTTTTTTTTTTTTTTTTTTTTTTTTTTTTTTTTT